TGTGTGTGTGTGTGTGTGTGTGTGTGTGTGTGTGTGTGTGTGTGTGTGTGTGTGTGTGTGTGTGTGTGTGTGTGTGTGTGTGTGTGTGTGTGTCACAATGAAGGCCAGATCTTAAAGCATTTACCTCGTACAGTGGCACACAAATTCCATCAATCCATTCCAGCTGAAGCCCTGGCAACTCATCCTTCCTGTTTCGATCAAAGATGGCCTGAAACACAAAGTTCAAATGTATTTACACCTACATTTTTACTGGAGGAACAAGTGAATATAGTGCTTCTCCCCTAAGCAAATCCTCCCTCTGCTCTCAAGACAATAGAGTTTAGTTCACGTGCGTTTCCTATTCTACCCCATTCTTCTGCAGTCTGAACTTAAGAGGCTCCACTGAGGCTGTGCTTCAGAGATAGTTACTGGGCTACGACTTAGAAGTTAATATTTCATTTCCAACACCCACACACACACGGAGCGGTAAAGGTTTGACACAAGCGGCAGACCGGAGGCTAACGCATTAGTTATTTCAGAGGAGAGGCAATGTGGCCTGGCTCGATTAGTCAACAGCCATTAATTGCTCGCAGAAAGCTGTTGGTTTTCCCCCTTTTCAGAACTTGCAACACAGTTGAGCCTTCAAAGCTCCTCATCAAACACACAGTATTCCTCTGTTGTGGCGCTGAGGCTTTGAGGACAGTCTGAATACGATGCGAGTTAAGATCTTAGGACCAAAGTCTTTCCATGCCACTAGTATTGTGCTATTTTTAAATTCACACGAGAAAAATAAAGTAAATGCATGATCTCAGCTATGAGAAAATCAATGCTAGAGCTGAACACAGCCAAATGGTGTGTGTGTTTACAGCTGAATTAATAGAAATGTCAGAGTTTGACTCCTGTGTAGGGGGAGTTGTTGTTTTTTTAAGAATGATGCTTACACGGTCCACAGTTTGCTCTTGGCGCAGCAGTGAGGAAGTGCAGTGGCCAAGCTGACTGTTCACTTTTCCCACACAAAGAGACACAAGATCTCATGTTTCCTACACAGTCAGTGTGTTTTGGAACTGCAGATAAAATAAATCTTCTGCATCATCAGCTCAGTGGAGGTCACGGGGGTGAAACTAACTGCAAAAGCACAAAACACCAGAGATGGTTGTGTGTACTCACCGAGGGCGTGAGCTTCAGCTCTGATCTCTCTCGGTCACCCTGCTCAAAGAATTCGCTGGTCACCAGCTCTGCAACCTGCAAGAGAAAACATTTGTGAATTAGTTTGACAAACATGTTCGTAACTCATTGTTTGGTCTTTAAAATATAAGTAAGTTGTGTTGTAAATGCCTGTGAAAGCCCAAGATGATGACATCAAGGATCACAAACATATGAGATGAAGGAAAAACAGCAAATTCACGGCAAACAGCTTAAAAACAGGAACAATCGTATATTTGGCTTTTTTTCTTCTTGGACCATTTATCGATTAATCAACCAATTGTTTCAGCTCTATTTTAATAGTTCAGAAATGCATTTATTTATTTATTGGTGAGAAGATTCTTTGCGGTTTACCAAAAACAATGACACAAACCACAACAAAAGGTTGATTGTTGTTAGTGTGCCTTATACATGTAAGGAAAATCTTGAATATTCTCATGAGTGACTAGAAAAAAGCATTTTAATGAGTTTTCTCACCTTGCGTGATATTTCCCAAGGTTTAGTGACGGCACCAAGATCACAAGCTGTCATCATCATGGATCTGAAAGAAATCAGATGTATTTAATTAGTGCAGTGCTTAAGATATTATTATATCCCTCATGTTTGTCTGTGTGCAGGGCGTTACCTGCACATGTCTCTATGAGCCTTCACGTTCCAGTTGTACTCCCCATTACTGACCATCTCAAAGAAGGTGTTTCTGTTCCTAAAGGGAAACAAGACATCTGTAGGTGTAAGAGACATGAAATCCACAAGGGGGCGGTATTCCCTCAAAGAAACCTGCAGTAATCATTGTACAGAGAGGGCTCCGTATGCTTTATTGTATAAATAAGTTAGTATACTGGAGCCAGCCGGGCTCTGTGGACCTCTCACTGTCAGGAGATTTAACAGTTTAATAAGCGGCGTGGTGTTTAGCAGAACATACTCAAAGTAGAGTGTGAGGTCTGTGGCCAGAATGGACTGTTTCAGCAGCTGCATGAGGTCGCTGTACTCTGTGGACGAGAGGTTGGAGAAGATATTGTGACCCTGTGGAGACACATACAGAGATAACATAATGAAACATGTTCAAACACATTTTCCCACTGCACACAAAGAACCTCAAATAAAGAAGCACTAGCCCCTACATTAATTATTTACTAGTTTGGGATGGGAACCATTTACTTAACAGAGGAGGGTGCATACAACTTAGGTTTATTTTGGATGTGTTTTGAATTATTTAATAAGAGCATACTGTTATGACAGACCGCTGACAATACTGGCATATCAGTAACAGATCATCTTTTTACTCTCTTATATTATTTATCATTTGTCTTCTCTTTAGTATACTATTTTACCTTAATTTGTTCCTTTGTTTGGACTCAGTGTGGCTTTCTGTTGTTTAATTGCCTTCTTGATATCCTGCTTTTGTTTTCGTTTTTCTGTCAAAGCACTACAATTAAAACTAATATTATCATTTATTTTGAATGTGAACATTTACTGTGCAGTAGCTTAGAATGAATAACATTTACTTTCTGCCATTTTATTTTCTAAATTGACACTAAACTGTATAATTGAGGGCACCATTTTTTGATATCAACCTCAAAGTTCCATGTGTCATATTTAATTTAACATTCAATGTATTTAAGATGCCTAATTTCCTAGTATTTAAGTCTTAAATATTGGTTTTCACAAAAATCAATTTGTTTTGAAGTGACTTAATAGATAGCAAGAAATATATGTATTCATACATTTTGCTTTGTAAAATGCTTGAGGCTGCATGATCATATGAAAATGCTTCATAATTGAGTTGAGTTTTGGATAAGATATCATTGAGGATCTATATAGAAGTTAACGTGGGAGAGTCTTTCATTAAAAAAAGCTATTTGCACAACGAATAGTAAAAAACTGAAAAAAGAGAGGCCAGCGGTTCCTAATATTTAAGCAACATCTGTCACATGAGCTTCTCTATCATTGGAACATCATGTATTATACATCCACTTAGACACCATCCTATAGAGAATGGAGAGATCTGTCTGGTGAAAATTGAAGATGTCGAGGTGATAACCAAGAAGGAGCCGATTGAGAGAATAACAAGGACCTGCAGAAATTAGCAGAGATCCTCAAAACTGGATGACCCCTTCTTCCTTTCAAACGCTGAGAATCCAAGTGCAAATTGCCTTTGAGCTCATGTGTTCCCATGAAACATTGAACGGTGTAACAGCAAAGACACAAAGCACTTCTCTTATTCTGTCACAATTGGAGTGGATGAAGGCGAGAAAAATAGGAAGTGAGAATGATGAGGGGAAATTGAAAGATACAAAGGGAGTGAGTGACGTTTAAAAGTGTAAAATGAATGCTTTGTGCGGGTTGAATCGTAAGCTTTCTGCTTGAATTAGCCACATTATTAATGTATATGCTAATAGGGCGACAGGAGGTCATCCCCAGTATCAACAGAAACCATTATGATATTCCAAGCAAACATTTGTCAGCTTACTGTGTTGTCAGCGGCGCGATAATGAAGCCACTGGAACAAACTCTGCTAAGCCTCGTCTCAGCTGCTCCCCCAAAACCTTTTTAATTACTACTTGATGCAAAGCCAGTCACCTGGTAAAACGTCTCTCAACCAATTACCACCAAATCTATCGCCTCTGTAATGACGATGATTTGAGGACAGCATGAGCTTTTTGTTTACTCCCTCACCTACGGCAGACATTTAGACTCCACATGGTTCCCTTCACATGCAAACTACCTTATTTGATTTGATTTTTATGGGCTTTATGATTTAAGTTTTTCATTTAGAGATGGCTTAAAAGTTAAGAGAGAGAGAGAGAGAGAAGAAGTGTAACTGAACAAATGTTCTGCTGTCAGGTGTATTGTCATGGTACATTGACTTTAAAAGTGACTTTAATTTTGTATTTTGAAAAGAGGAATATTTTCAACACAATTGGAAATTGCTATCATGCAGAGAGTTGACATTAGAAGACCAGCACCACTTTTGAATCTGTCTCATAAATGTGAATCTGTTAGGCTGCCAACCTAAAATGTTGTTGCATATAACTCCTCTAGGAAATAAAACCTGTTGATTTTACACTTTGTTTTTTGTACAGATGAAAACAAGCAAGATATCACTTGTTAGTTCATGAGCTTTTAAGATGCTAACACTCATCGCAGATTGTTTAATTTGACTTTATTTTAGGTATAAATAAATGCCCATTATGCTAACAGTTTCAAGTCTTTATGCTAAGCTAAGCTAACCTCTCATCAATAAGGCAACATGTTTTGAACTAGTCCTTTTAACTTGTGTTTTTTCCTGCTCTGGCAAGTCATAATGTTGCTTAAGAAACTAAGATGAAATATTTACTTCAGACATTTGAATTCATGTACTAGATAGTTGATAATAATTACAAATAATTGTTAGTTGCAAACCCACTGCATTGCAGCAGAAAAAGGAACATGGTGCACCTCGCTCTGCAGGATCATAACAGCGTGGTTGAAGTGGTGGTGCTCCAGCGTAGCAGAGGTCCCATAAAGCAGAGCAAGGGCTGAGCCCGTCCTGACACACACACACACACACACACACACACACACACACACACACACACACACACACACACACACACACACACACACACACACACACACACACACACACC